AGTGGCTGTCCAATCGAATTCTAGCATATGATGACATGTCCCACATTTCTCTTTCGAATGATGAAAACTGCAGATCGATAGCTGCTTTCGTTCTTGAGTTATTAAAATCACAACCAACTGTATTCTATATTGAAATGGATAGTAGTATATGTATTCCGTCAGCCAAGAATAAACGACATTTCATTTTTTTGATTACTTCTTCATACTAGCGTCGTTTGGTCTTATATACATTTACTCTAGATACATGTCTTGTTACTCAATGTACTCTGAAAATTTCAGTCATTGACAAAAGTGAGATATTAGTTTTTTATAACTCGTGAAAGGAATTAATATCGTCTTCTCTCTAATATTAGGCACTCACCTAGAAATTTTTCTAAGTGGCAAGGAAGGGGAGTATTACGTCCGTAGTGTTCCCCTATCGCCACAAGAATGATAGGAAATCCCTTCTCTAGTACAATGACAGTGCGTCTGCTCAGTAATCGGAAGGTGAGTGGTTCGAATCCAATAAAGGCACATCTTTTTCTTCCATTCTGTGGTATTCCATCACGTTGCTTAGTCCTGATCATGTGTTATAACCTGAAACTCTTATAGGGAGAGTTCATCATAGAAAAAAACGTATTGTTCGACTTGTTAAAATTAATCAGTCTGTAGCCTCTAATGTTTAAATCCTTCTATGACGAAAAGGAAGAAGAGAGGAATTGATTCTCAGTCGCCTTCTGATTGTGTTCATGTTCCGTACGCCAAAATTTTCAATCAACACAAACGATTCTTTTCCATGACATGAATTTCTCCAGATGTTTGTACTTTTTGAACTTTTTGAAATGTTTCATAAATTATTAATCTTAAGGATTTGATGGTTGGAAAAGAAACAATTCTTTTCGGCTAAAAAAGAATCGAACATTATAGGTTCGATGATATCTAATTTTGAGTAAGTTTTCAGAATCAAATCTATATTTAGTATACGTTGGCAATGTTTATTACTGAGCGAAAATTCATCAAAATGATCATATTTCAGGAATAAATCAAAATGAACACGAATCAGTCTAGATTTTTCTTTGTCTAGTAGGTCCTATCTGATGAGGTAGGTCTTACCGTAAAATTGATTTATTATTTCGTGAGATTCTTTATAGGACACAGATATTAATATGATAAGCAAAACTACATAATTAAATAGTTCATTATTACCTTATTGTGCAAAAAAAGGCATCAGATATTGAAAAAAAAGAGTATGAAACTATAAGTACTTAGGACAGTCCAAAAGTAGTGACGCCATTACCAAAATTCGTTATAGAAAGGTTGAAAAAAATGTCTTTTTTTATGAAAAGATAGAGCGTCTTTCGCTCTATTTTTCTATGCTATTTGATCACTATTCAACTGATTGAATAATAATAAAATAGAAGATAAGAACTGTTTTTTGTTGACAACCAGCTGGTAGCAGTAGATCATTATGGATGGGACTTTTTTGCATTTCATTGTAATATCACTTAATAGATTGTATTAAAAAAAAAGAAAATATACCACAAAATGCAGCGTGAAAAGCTTTACAATTTATGAAAGACTGTTTATTTTATAGTTACACTTTTTATTATCAAAATGGACAAAAACTCTGAGCAACCAAATTTCGACATTACGAAAACGCAATTGTTTTTGGTAAAAGACGAATTCGTTTTTTCTTATCTGATCTAGTTTATTATAAAAAACAAAATATACTACAAGACGCAGTATGAAAAGCTCTACAATTTATAAAAAACAATTATTAAAAGATGCGATAGAAAAAAAAACGAATTCGTCTTTTACCAAAAACAATCTCGTTTTCGCAATGTCGAAATTTGGTCGCTCAGAGTTTTGTCCATTTTGAAAATAAAAAGTGTAACTATAAAATAAACGGTCTTTTATAAATTGTAGAGCTTTTCAAGCTGCATCTTGTGGTATATTTTCTTTTTTTTTAATACAATCTATTAAGTGATATTAAAATGAAATGCAAAACTACCCCATTTTTATGCCATACCCATTATGATCTGAATGCTACCAGCTGGTTGTCAACAAAAAACAGTTCTTATCTTCTGTTTTATTATTATTCAATCAGTTGAATAGTGAACAAATAGCATAGAAAAATAGAGCGAAAGACGCTCTATCTTTTCATAAAAAAAGACATTTTTTTCAACCTTTCTATAAGGAAATTTGGTAATGGTGTCACTACTTTTGAACTGTCCTAAGTAAATCTTGTTTCGTTTTCTATCTCATCTCGTGATTGCCATAAACATGTTTTGCTCATTTATTCATTGAAGTGTTAATCAATTGTCAGATTGATTAGTTGATAGAATAGAAATATATTAGAGTTTATTTTATTATTTTCGTACACTTTTCCTAATATTCGATAGGTTGATTAATTGCCAGAAAAAAGAATAACACCTTGTAAATATAGGTTTTACCATATTAAATATAGAATAAAAAGAAATTTTATAGAAAATGTTATTAGCGCAGTGTCTGTGAGATTAAAATGTGAAAGATGATGAACTTTCGTATATTGCATAAGACAGAATTGTGCAACTCATATTTCGTATTTTTAGTGAGTATCCGAAATAGAAGATTTTAATCATATATATTACAGTGAGCTCGGAAAAAGAGTCAAAGATAAAAAAAAATCACATATTCAATTGTCTTCCATAGTAATCCTACAGTAGATTTTGGTTTTGTCGCTGTGTTTGTTACAGTCTATGAGAGATGAGAACAGCAGTTCCGTTCGATCGAAACTTTTTTAGAAGTAGATTGGTTCGGTTCGAAAAAAAATGAAAAAGATCCCTATCTAGAACTGATATTTTAGTGCATTCCTTGACTTGTTATCAGTTTTGACCTGGTTCGGTTTGCGATTTCATAAAAAGTGAATCGATTCGGTTCGAAAAAAAAAACAGAAAGAGATTCCCTTGTTTGCAGTCGATCATGTAGTATTAGTAAGGTATTTGTGCCGTTTCCATAGCAATGTGTGTCACAGTCTATAGGGACGAATGGAGTATTGAAATTTCTATTCCTATATACTTGAAAACTCGTTTTAGGTCGCCTTTTCCAAAATATTTTCGTTTTAATAAGAGAAATTTTGTTTTTCTTTGACAAACAATAGAAAAAGAACTGAACATGATAAAAAAAGTTCTTTGTCAATTATTCTCTGGTCAATGTAATTTAACATCTCTTCAACTTGATATTAGCAACGAATTCAGAAATGGTTATATTCATAGATGTTTAACATCCCAATCTTATTTGTCTTCGAATTCTATTCAAGATGAACTTCAATCGTATTGTGTGACTCTTCGTCGTTTACATATTCGACTTAATCATACATGTTTCCTTGAAAATCTTATTGAACATGTGCCTAATCTTGAACAAATGTCAGTTCGGTTTCAATATTCATTGGTATTCGATTCATTAGAGACATCGAATGTTGAAAAGTTGAATCAATCAAATGAAAATTGGTTTAATAAAGTAAGAGGATTGATTCTTTTTTCTTTTATAAATTTTTCACAATAGGTTTTATTTTAATTAATAGAAAGAATATCGAATTTTTTTCAGGTACCAAAACTACGGTATTTCAGTTTAAAAACTATCATTTCTAATGATTCAGAATTTGTTTATTTGAAATGGGTTCTTAACAATTTAAATTATATTGAAAAAGTTCAAGTTCATCTTAGAAATAATAAATTAAGCGAAATAAAATGTGAAAAAATCTGGAGATCTATTATTGATGCAAATTTCATTCATCAATATTGTTTACCTTCAAAAATAATTAATTTAATTTATTTTGATTTTTATGTTTGTTCAGAATGTCAATTATCATTAAATGATGTAGAAAAAATAATTCATTCATTTAAAATTCATTCTTTTTTTATTCAACATAAATGGACAAATGTTAAATGTTTATTTGATCGAATAATCTCATCTCAACATATTTTCTCTTCTTTCTCTAATTATCGAATGTAAGATATTTATCTTTATCAAAACTCCAACAACTTAACAATTCAACTAGATGCTTTTTCTTTTTGTTTAGTAGTCGTTCAGATATTTTTGATTGGCCTCATATTGACAAACTTTGCTTTCGCTTACATCCATCACTTTGTTTCTTTCTCGAAGAATTTAATGACTTATCTTCTAATGTTTCTTCTATAAAAGTATACAAAGGTAAATTTCAATCATTCTCTGAATGAGTGAAGGAGTAGATAACTGATTAACGTTCACATATTCACATTATTTCATAATAATTCAATTGTGTCGAATTCCTGAAAACACAACGATAGAGAAAAATAGAAATCGTCATTTTTTCATTGAAGAATCAGATGAAAAGGAAGATTTCTCATGAACATTTGTCTTTCTTGTGTGTTCAGCTAAGCTCAATACAAAAAACTAATAATACAATATTTAAAGTAAAGAAAATTTCTTATTTTAATAGACCGAGGAATGAATTTTGACAATTTTGATCTTCTGATGTCTTTAAAAGCGTTATCCAAAATGAAGCAATATAAAAGGATTGATATGCCTTTTCGAAATGTTACAAAAATTCAATTTGGAACATGGTTTCATCGTGACAACGGTTAGTAGCAACTTTCTTTTTTTTTCGAACATCTCAAACCAACGAAACGCATTCTTTATTTGTAGCTTAAACCAAATATTACCTACAACTTTTTTTTATAGTTTAAATCTTTTCTAGAACTATTTTTTCTATAATCATCGTCATGAAATGAATTTCTTATTTTTTTTTAGTATGATTAAATGTGCTAATTCGAAGTTATAATAATCCTTTCAATGTTAAATTTTCAGCACTACTACAGAAACGAAGTTCTCTAGTCGTGGATGAAGAATCATTGATGAGAGAAATGCCTGTGTGATACCGAGTTTAGCTACGAATATTAAACTTCTAGATTCTAACTCTGCTCACTATTAAACTAGATCCTATGTCTATCAAAGATGATTGTGTTCTCGGATACATATTCTTACGGAGCCTATCATTACGTTGAACCTCACCATTTATGTTTCGTTCTGCTCTGTTTCTACAGTTTTTTTTCTGTAAAAACAATTTTCAAAGTCATAGTTACCATTTAAAATTGCACTGAGTGATTAAGTATAAATAAATAGATCATCAGGTGCACGGAAAGCAAAGTTCGAGGAAAAAATTTTTTTTTTCGATATTTTATAGACTATTCGATAGAGAATTTCATGGTAAGCAAGAATATATGTTTTCTGAAGTTTTTCGAAGCTTTCTTCCATTCGAAAAACCGAAAAAACTCGACGGATATGACAAATTCAATTTTCCACCTTTTCTCAGTAAATTTCAGTTTTCAAATGTTTTCTGTCACCTCAGATTATTCTCATTGACATATTCTTATTCAGCTTTGAAAAGTGAATGAGAATATTGATCAAAATCATTATAGACGAAAAGGGCGATTCGCCAAACCCGTCAAAATCAAAGTCACCAAAATCCGGTCAAAAACTCGTCAACTATTTTTTCCTAGGTACTAGAATCAATATTTTCACACGATTCGATTCTTAAGATGTTCCTCTTCAAAGTTATACGTACAGTTTTTTGAAATTCCTTTCCATTGTTGAGAAAATCAACTAGTTGCAAAAGATTAAAGAATTCCACTAGTATTTCGAGGTTTTGACTACGAAAAATTAATTTTCGAAGGAAATAAACATAATATTTGGAATTAGCATAAAAAACTGCATTGAACAACATATATTTTATCAAAAAATATTTTTCCTCAAAAATTCTACTCGTGGGGACTACAGCGCAAAAAAAGGACTGAGGGGAGTATCGTCGAGTTTTTTCCATTTTTCGAATGGAACAAAGCTTCGAAAAGCTTCAAAAAACACATATTCTTGCTTACCATGAAATTCTCTATCGAATAGTCTATAAAATATCGAAAAAACAAATTTTTTCCTCGAACTGTGCTTTCTGTACACCTTACAGAGAAACAAAAAGAAACAATTAATATGAAATACTTTTGTAAGGAATTTAGTATTAGTAGAAGAAAGTAGTAGAGAATGTTGATTCTTGAGATATTAATGATAAAAATTAATCAAAAAATATGATGAATGAGTTGTAATTGAAAGATATTTCTAATTAGAATTAAAAACGTCACAATCGAAAAATTTATTGATTTGTATTAAATAGGAAATATCAAAAAAATTTTATATCTTTTCTCGAGCATTGGATAATAAATGAAAATAAGTTATTTGTATATATCTTTAAATTGAGATTCATTTTAAATTATTGATGAACAACTTCAAACACATTCTCTAACGTTTTTAAGCAATTTCGAATTTATTCATATAAAAATAATCGAACATTATGTTTTCAGAAGACTGATAAGCAAATAATTAAATATTTTTTCTAATATTGAATAAACATTAAAAAAACTCAAGATATTTGTTGATATCATTTAAATGATTATAAATTTTATTTCTTAGACACTAACAAACTATTTTAGAAAGGATATTTCATTCAAATGTGGAAATATACCATCAATTAGATATGACAAACAATTATCTTTATTTAAAATCATCGCTAACCATCAGAGCTTTTTTGCTCAAATATTAACAAATGCAAACTAATTATCTGTG